GGCTTCTCTTTGTGTTTTGTTTATTTAATTTGTATGAGCCAAGAGCTTTAACTATACTAGATTTAAATCCATTTTGTTGTAACAAAGTATTATCTTGGAAAGTTGTAAGCCTTTAGAGCATTCCTTATTTGTTTATCTCTTATTTCATATCTTTAACTTGTTACACATGTTATAGATTCAGAGTTAGGACTTGTGAATGTATAATTGCATATATTCCTTTTTGTAAAACCGACTTATTTGGAAATGAAAAGAACATATTATTTAAAGATGTATTGTTATTTATTAACTGTCATAGGATTGATTAATTGTTATATTTTCAGGGCATTACAACTTGGTATCAGAGCGTACCGAGTTTGAATACTTTAGGTACGTGGGAAGTGGTTCTTACCATAATGGGTTTATCTCGCTTGATAGAAATATTTATGTGAATAATATGCTATGTGATAACATGCTTATGTGACTATGGGTATGGAATTTAATTTCTAAGATATTAATTGAGTCTACAAGTTTCTAGAAGTCCTATTAGAAGAGCACTTGATCACTGCTATTTCTAATTGGAACTCTGGCAATGTCGTGGGACAATCATTATCTAGAAAGGAAGTTCGCATCATGTATTTATGTAACTATGTGCTTACGTGGAGTGAATTATGGTTGTCCATCGCATTAGGGCCCGAGTGAAATAGCTTCAACATATTTGTGAATGTGCTAATCTTAGGTGTTACTTTTATTAGGATGTCAGGATGTGGACATGGTGGTAAGCATGATAGGCCTTGACGGCAGGAGGTGCCGATACTGACTGAAATTCCGGCACAGGAGGAAGGGGTTGGTCAGGCCAATATGGCTGAACTAATTGGTTAGCAGGCTATTGGCGCCTTGGCCCGTGAAATAGCTGGAGCTTTGCAGGAATCTATGGACATTTTTAGAGCTTAGAATCAAGTCCAGACCCAAGTTACTGAGGTAGGGCCGCCCTTTTTGAAGAGGGAGTTCTTCTGGTTGAATCCAGATGAATTTTTGGGAGATCTTAAGGAGCCACTGAAGGCAGATGAGTGGCTAGAACAGATGGTGAAGACGTTTGAGATGCTTGGCATCAAAGACGATGGCTTAAGAGTGACCTTGGCATTTTTCCAGCTGAAGGAAGATGCGGTTCAGTGATGAAAGTATGCACGTGGGCGCATTGGAGTGACTTGGGAGGCATTTATCAATGCCTTCCAGGACAAGTTCTTACCTCCTAGTGTTAGGGAGAAGTTGAGGGATCAATTTTCTAAGCACAAGCAGTTGAACACTTTGGTAGTCGAGTTTGAGCCTACATTCACTAGTGTGTCAAGATTTGCATAGGAACTCGTGGCGACAGAGGAACGCCATTGTGTCGAGTTCGAGAAAGGTTGAGGACTGGACTCTTATTCAAAGTGGTTGGATCCATGATTGGAGACTATGGATGCCTTGTGGAGGCGGCGGCTCATCTTGAGACCGTGATGCAATCGGAGGAGGAGTGGATAAGGGCTCTAAGAGGAGTCAGGAAGTTCAGGGGGAGAGTAGGGACAGTAAGAGACAGAGGGGTTTTACCCCACAATAGTCCTAAGTAGCTCAGTCTAGATCCACTTTTCACGTGCCGAGTTCGGGTTTAAGGAGGGGTAATCAAAGAGGTTTCACATGTTTTAATTGTGGCAAGTTGGGTCATAAATCTCCAGCTTGCCCGCAGAGAAGAGGAGGGCATCATTCTGTAATGCCATCGGCTCGTTCTCAGAGCCAGAGTCTGGGGAGAGGGCAGTTGCTTACCTGTTATCAGTGTGGAAAGGTAGGGCATTTGAAAAGGTTTTGCCCTCAGTTAGGTGACATGCCTAGTGCGTCTAGTTCGAGACAAACATAGAGTCATCAGCCTACCTAGTCAGTACAGGTCTCAAGGGCTAATCAAGGAGCCACTTCAGCCCTGTCAGTGCGTCAGACTTATGCTTCAAGGGGTGAGCAGGTAGAGAAGAGACCTACGAGGCGTGTGTATGCTGTTACCACGCCAGATTTAGTGCCAGCACCTTCGGTAGTGAGAGGTACTTTCTTATTTTGTAATTCTATTGCCAATGTGTTAATTGATACGGGTGCATCCCATTCCTTTATCTTTGATGGGTCGTTTCACACACCAAAATTAAATACTAAACTATACCAAATTCTTTTAGAATAATGGCAAGTCCAGGCATCGATCCACAAGGACAATTGTGAAATTAAACTAATTTAATTGCTAAATTACTAAATTAATTTTGATTAAAAAGAGATTGACGGATATTATAACTAAACAAGAATTAAATTAAATTAAAAAATTAAATTGACAATTAAAATTAGGGTTTGAGATATTGTTTTTTGGAAAAAAATCCTAGATAAAGGAATGGGATGCACCCGTATCAATTAACACATTGGCAATAGAATTACAAAATAAGAAAGTACCTCTCACTACCGAAGGTGCTGGCACTAAAAGAATTCACTACTAACCACATAAATGAAATTTAACATCGGCCATCAATTGCAATTCGGTTTGAAATACCCAATATTTCACAACTACAAGTTTGAAATATTGATCAAGAGGATTGTTGCATTCAACGTACAGGCACGAATCATCCCGAGTAGTATGAGTCGTTTGCTCTAAACTATGGTTGTAACACGACCCGTCTCTCATAGCATGACTCGTCTCGTACTTTGAACACAAACACAAAAAGACTAATGTATGGAAAGCATTAAACAATCACAAAGAGTAAAATACTTGAAGAGGTGAAAAGAACAATTATTATAAACTTCTAAATCATCCATACAATTATTGAAACCGTTACACAATCAAAGCTCAAAGAAAATCTTTTTACATGGTTAGGATTTTATCAAAACCCTAGAATTAAACATTCACATCTAGAGGGTAAGAAAGCAGAGCCTCTCTCTCTAGATTCTAGAGAGAGAAAGCTCCCCCTGGGGGTTATTCATGGTGGAGTGTTCTGGTGCAGTCCCGGCCAGCTTGTTTAGCTCCTCCTCTTAATAACTGAGTTGGAGTGAGCATGTTTTCTATATCGGTGATGATTTTCGATGGCAAGTGGTCAGAGGTAGTTGAGCTCGCGGGTGTTGCTCTACGGTGATCTTCTTTGCCGTAGTTGGGTATTAGGTGTATTCTGTGGAGGGGGTCTTGTTGTTTATGGAGGTGGTTGTATTCTGTGGTGCTAGTGGGTTTGGGTTAGCTCTGTCCAGTCCGGTGTTCACTTCGGTTATTTTATAGAGCTGGATAAGATGAAGACAGTCTTGTGGTCTTTCATGGATTTCGCTGGGTGGTTAGCTCACCGGCGGTGAGCTCGGCTTTCAAATGGCTTATGGAGTTTGGAGGTTTTGGTGATGGTTCTGTCCTGGTGTAGCCTCGCCAGAATTTTGCCGGTTGTTTCCAGTACTATTTTACAGTGCTGGCAGTGTGTTCTTGGCGGTGGTTTGCTCACCGGTGTTATCGTTGTTGTTCAAATTTTGAAATTAAATAAATAGATTTATGAAGAAATCAAATTATATATATACTAAGAACACATGCTAATAATTACAACTAAATTTCAACAGAAATACACAAAACAATAAAAGGGTAAAGAGACGAAACCGAAGCCTGCACGGAAGCAGTTTCCTTAAAACAGATTTCGCCGCCTCACTGGTCGAGTGCTTGAGGAATCCCGGCGTCTGTCTCCCAAGATACGACGGTCAAAACCAGCTACGGCAAAAGCACTCTCTGTCTAGCTTAGCGAACAAAACAGTGGCAGCACTCTCTTGAAGAAAAATAATACGTAATTTAAATTTAATTATTAGATAATAAAAATTATATTTTGAATGAATCTGAATCTGATAATTTGCCTATGTACTTTTTCTATGTTTGTGTTCTTGTTCGGAATTATTGCATGGAAAATAGTACTTGTAGAAATACAAGACACACTAAATATAATATCTTATAAAAAAATTTGTTATATAATTCTTCATGACTATTGAATAATTATTGCTTACTCATTTGGGTATTATGCAACTTTTGTATATAAAAATTCTGATGTAATTTTAGTGACATTTTATTTTAAAATAATATATCATAATATTAAGTTATTCCAAAATCAAGTAGTGAAACCACCTGTAATTCTCGTCTGTTAATTGGTATGTCATTATCATATTTGTTAGTATTTCTAAAGTATAGCAAAAGTGACAACCATAACATCAAATAACAAAATTTTCCTATTTTAATCTCCATCCATTTACATATAAAAACAATAATACAAATTAAAAATAAAAAAATGCTTGAACAAGAAAATTAATAGTCTACAATCATGGTAGGTGTAGGTCACTTTCAACTAAAATAAAATTCAAATACATTCTCACAGTTCATAACATTTCTGTTTAAAAAATGTTATATCTTCAAAGCAAATATAAAAAATAAAAAATAAAAAATTGTCCATAATTGAATTTATGCTATGCGGCACACTTACACAGAAACAAATTTTGAATAATTTCTTAATGGAAAATGATTCATTCCTTAATTTTATTCCTCCAATTTCATTTTTAATGATGTGAATTAAAGAAGATAAAGATGAGAGAAGAAGAATGTGAAACTGTTTCATATTGGAGGTGAAATTGAAAAACAAAATTAAAAGATAGCTCTGTTTGGTAGAGCTTTTAAAGTTTAATTATACCCTTTAATTTGAGTGTGCTATTTGGTTACAGTTTTAGAAAATTAATTCTACACTCACTTTTCAAAATACTTTTCAAAACACTCACTTTTTAATATTATATGTCACATCACTCAATTCAAACTCTTTTTAAAACTCAAAACTAAACAAATTTTTTACACTTAAATCATAATTTCAAAATCTACAAATTCAAAATATAACTCTATTCTCAAATCATAATTTTAAAACTCTACCAAACACAATGATTTGGCTTTATCAATAGTTGTTTCCACTTTAATGCACGTGGTCGTGCGGATGGTGTACATGTGAGAGAGAGAGAGAGAGAGAGACCTGGATAATTGTTAGTGAAGGTATCCCATATGCTGAGTCCCCTACCATCCTGGAATGCTGCTCCTTCAGACTAAACAAGACATATAAGTTTGAATATCAATGAACAATGAATACAATTTACAAATGATCAAAAGGAACTAAATAAATGGTATTGCTTAGAAGCTCAATAGTTCATATAGCTGTCTCGTGGGACGGTAAGAAAGTCGGAGATTTAAGGTTCGAATTGATGAAGCAACTGCAACCTTTTCTTTTTAATCTAATTTACTAACTTCCTAACTTCCTTATCGTATGCGAAGGAGAAAAAAATAATGTCTATTTTCATAGAGAAAATGCATAAATGGCACACCTGATATGAAGCCGAACTCGCTCCGAATACGAAACCAGCTGGAAAACTACTCCGGTTGAGCGTCTCCGCTGACTCATAACTCTGTTTTGCACAATCTGTGCTAGACAAAATGCAGGCCAAGATTAGAAAGCTCAAGTGATGAAGACCCCTTGTTGCCATAGTTAACTCTTTTGCTCAATTATCAAAAACAACTAGTATATAATAACAAAACTAGAGGGAGTGATATTTTTTTTTGATCGGCGACTAGAGGGAGTGATATGACGAGTTTGGAACTATTGGTTTTGATTCAAGCATTCGCCATCACACAGATAAAAAGACAAAAGGACTTTTCCTTCCCATTTATTATTGTTGTCGTTCAAAGCAATTCCCCAATAATTTTTTTTTTTTTGGGA